AATCAGTATAATCAAACACAGCTGGACTCAAATGAAGGTGTAGAACCATCTCAGGGATGATCAGATGAAATGGACAGAGCCTAAGTTAAATATATGAGTGTCACAGCAAAGGGTCTGAATACTTATGACCATGTGATATTTCAGTTTTTCTTTTTTAATAAATCTGCAAAAATGTCAAATTCTGTGTTTTTCTGTCAATATGGGGTGCTGTGTGTACATTAATGAGGAAAAAAATGAACTTAAATGATTTTAGCATATGGCTGCAATATAACAAAGAGTGAAAAATTTAAGGGGGTCTGAATACTTTCCATACCCACTGTATATCCATTCAGGAAATCTCATTGAGACCAAGATCTCTGTTAATACATTGTAATGTCGACTAAATGCGACTGTAGCTATGCACCATACAGAAGGAACAGTTAAACTAGTAGATGATGCTAGCACTTTCTTGAGTATGTAATGATATCAACTGAGAGATCCCTTAAATAAACTCTAATATTTCAAACTAAACATTATCACCACATAATTATGAACTAGCTCTAAACAAATTGCAGTTTAAAGCCATTTTCACACATGAACTTCAGACTGCGTCTGCGGAATTAGGCTGGGACTTTGTGATGAGCTGTCCTTTCACACTTGTAGCACACGACAGGAGGTAGTCCATGTCAGATGTGTTCTCACCTACTGGAAATACTCTGTTACTCTGGTTTATGTGCGAGGGTCATCCCTGAGGAGAGCATGCAGGAGGTGGGACATGACACAGTCACGTAGCCAGTTTGTAATTTGGCCATAAACAACTGAATCATTTGCCTTGGCTGATGATTCGGGTGCCAGTTTTTAATGACAGAAGTTGAATCATGTCTCCATTTAAATATTTTGTTGGTGTCTTCATTATAAATGACTTTTTCTTCACCATCGGATGTTTGTACTCTTCCATTTTTACGCCAGACCCATGATAGACTATCATCAACACACCCACTTGCTCCATGTGAATACTCCAGACCATACTCTGCTGTATTCTCACATGGGCTCACTCCAAATCACTTGGACATTACGTGGACTCTACAGTTTGCTCCGAGAAGTCATTGTGAAATAGGGCATTTCCTAGTGTTTTTTTTTTTTTTTTGCGTCCTAGATTTGGTAAATTTGCAATAAGCTGAGTCACACTTTCTCTCTGTATGTTATGGAAACACCCATATGACTACTTTGTTTGCCTGTTGGCTGAACACCCTTGGAAATAAACTGGCCAGCTGTGGCGATGATGTCATGGGATCTCTGTGTGTGCGCCTTTGTATTAGCTTGTGTCTATGCATGGAGCTACATGTGTGGTTCCAGCTGACTCAGTAGTTAAGCTTGTGCCGACTGTGCTATCAGTGTTTTGCCACATTTATGAAACATGCCTTATTTTTCAGATTAGTTATTCTTCACTGCTAACCTCACCTTCCTTTGTTGCATCAGACCTTAAGGTGTTATAAGGTACAACAAACTCTACAAACTTACTCAAAGAAACTGCTTATAACATTAAATGATTTTAAAATCTGCTTTTTAAATTGTGTCTTGCCTGTAAATTCCATAGCCACATACAAATGCAAAAACAAATGTGTTTAGAGTGAAATATCCATTTATATTTTGGATAATTAAGCAGAATTTGGCATGCCCTTCAAAGTTGGAAGTGTTCTGTGAAATTGGAACTGCTTTACTTAAGCTATCCTGTTTTCAAATACTGTCTAGGTCCATAAAGTCCTGTGAAAGTATTGTCTAGCTGTGCTTAGGTTTTTTTAGCCTGCAGAAAATGGATACCACTTGGTTTTTTCATAAGACTGACATGTTTCTTTGATAACATGTCTAGATTTATAGTCAGGCCAGCTCTGTAACATGGACTAGGCCTATTAAGGGGTTTAAGGGGTTTCAGTGAGTCTATCAGGGCAACGACGGCCACACCTGGCGTCATAAAATCCTCTTTTAGGGCCCTTGTTCTGTTGCTATGGATTGATCCCTATGGATAGACCAGTGCTTC